CCCTTGGCGCACGTCATAATTTGGCGTTGTTGCTTATCCAGACGTCGTTCAACTTGAACAAACAAATCCACCGCGCGCGCGGTGGATTCGTTTGCATTTGTTTGAACCAGACGCTGTCATCATGACGTGGATCAGCCTTAGCAGACGATGCATGACGACAACGACAATGCACGACGACGGAGAACGACGATGCACGACGACAGCGGACGACACTGCACGACGACAGCGAACGACGATGCACGACGACAGCGAATGGCAATGGTGAATGATGAGGTATGATGACGGCGAATGAGACATAAAGGTGGAACACGAGGGAGCGGCGAGGTGCCATGTCGCAGTCAGCGACGTGCCAACTGAACGACAAATCACTTCTGTGGGCCCAGGTGAGAAAGAAAGAACCGTCCCCTCCACGTTCTTTCTTTGACGCACAGTCTAGGTGCCATGTAAGCCTTCAAAGAGGTATTTTTCGTATGTTCGTCAGCACCCCGTTTCTCTAACATTCATTTAATCCGCAGAAACATTGTATTTGCAGCCCTCGCGTTGTCGACGAGGGCTGCAAAGACATCGACTGCGTCAACGGCATTCCAGTCAACGGCAACGGCACCCTATGTTACCTACACGACCACCACAATTCAAGTGAACAACGTGGCGACAACAGACCGTTTCCGCTCGCACCTCGTTGCCCTCCTCTCCATCTACGAAGTTTCTTTTTCCAGGGCTCAAATCTCGCGGTACGATGGCCCCCCAGACGAGCAGACAAGATGGTGTTGAAGAGGTTGGGGACGTGTGGTGCAAAGTTGAAGGAAGGCCGTCGTGCTGCGGTGCGTTTATATGCACCTCATTCAACTAACATCCACCTGATTAGAATCCACTACACGACGTCGAGCGATGGCATCCGCTTGCGTATCAGTCACCCTTCCAACATGTTTAGCTGGGTACCCCGTCAACGATGTCGAGCCATCCGCTTGCATATCACTCCTCTGTCTATATGACCCCATCCGCTCGCGTATCACTCCCCCTGGCCAAAACGTTTAGCTTGGGGCGTCGTGTTGTACGTTCATCCGCACCAAGTTCATCGTTGCCTACGTCAACGGCTTCACCAGCACCCTCTGTCTCAAATTCGGCGCCGTTCGCTCGCTTATCACTCCCTCTTTCCAACACGTTACTCTGTCAATGACGTCGAGCCATCTGCTCACGTATCATTCCCCCACATTACCCTGTCAACGACATTCATACCCCGTCAACAACGTCGACCTATCCTCTCACGTATCAGTCCCCCTTTCCAAAACGTTCAGCTCGATACCCTATCAACGACTTTGACACTCCCCCTTTCCAAGATGTTTAACTCCGGTGCGATGTGAGATGACAGCGTGTTTGGGGAGGGAGTTACACGTTAGTTTTTGACGCTTTTTTTGTCAGATTATGTAGTTTCCTCGTGCTGCGTCGAGTAGTCCTGTAGAAGGGACGTACAATACTGGAAATGCAAACTATTAACTAAATCTTTGAGCTCAAGGGCATGATCACCGAAATCAAACAAATGCAAACGAAACCACCGCGCGCGCGGTAGTTTCGTTTGTCCCTATTGACGTCGACCTCCCTTCAGCCACCATCTCTTCTACTTGAAATCTGCTATGGACTCTGACACATCCAGTTCGGCTCACGTGGTAAACTGTCTGTACTAATTCCACTCTCACTAAAGCAAGCACTTACACTGGTTCACCCCTTTCAGGTCCTTCAGAATGCCGTGCTGTCTCACCTGTGTTCTCAGCCTTTCCTTGGGCCACACCACATGTTGTACAAGTGCCAAAGCCTTTGGCTGACTTCACTGAAATAATGTCACCTCACAAGGTACTTTATTTCTCTGTGGCCTCGATTGTAACTTAACAGACTGCTTTCAGCACTTCATCAATTCGCTAAATCGATTTGAGCGCTCGCTCTTTGCCTTTGATAAACTTGCGGTCGATTCTAACGAATTGGCACCGCTTCTAGGCTTAGATGTCCTGAAAGCATCCAATGCGGTCACCCTACATCCAACGGTGATGACTGCATCATCAAAGGGGGAGTACAAAACCCTTGCTTCCATTGTTTCTGCATATCGAATGTTTGAGGTCTTGGCTCTTGACTGCGAAATTGGTGTTTCACAACCTCCCATTCGCCTGCTTCCCCCCTTGTCTTTCAACAAGTCTGAGCAGGATAGTGAAAAGATTGTTGTACGTTGATTTATATATATTCTGATCCTCAAGTTAATTTTCCTTGCTTGCAGGGTTTTGACAAACTAGAAAATTGGCCCAAAGTTCTGCTTAACTTCCGGAAACTTATAGGTCAGTCAGGACTACCTCAAATTCCTGACGACCTCCATGCAGGAAGCAAACACCTTGCTCTCCTACGGATGGCAAGCAAGAACAAAGAGAAAGTAGCATATGTGAATGTGGTCGACAACTTTCTTCAAGCTGCTCTGCATCTTTACTACCTCAAGATGACCCAATTCCGAGATGGGTCTCTGCCTGACTATCCTGATATTTTAAATGACCGTCTCCAGTGCGTTAGACTCATGTCACATTGATATCCGATACTCATATCTCTCAGCATCTTCAAAGATGAGACCTCTACAGATGAATTCATCAATGATCAAGAGGAGGGGACTTACTACTTGCAAGATTTACGTGATGGAGAGACAGCTTCGCACAGCCTCCACCAACTTGGGACACCTCTGCAATTAGCACTGCTCCTGACTCCTTTCTATTTGCTCTTTCCATTCAGGATAATCACCAGGTCCTATAATCGTCGTCTTGTTCTCGAATCTTTTGCTGAGTTAACTCCTCGGAAGACACCCCTTGTGCTTAAAATTGAGAGTTCCATCTGGCGTTCTCTTATAGCGCTTGCTGATGTGACCATCACGCCTCATGAAGCTTTAACACAACTGGTATCAAGATTGCCGTGGGCTGAGATAGAGGCAGCATCCAACAACCCCCATGATTGTCGCATGTTTTGCACCCCTTTAGGTGAGAAATGTTAAACTGCTTTTCAAGCTTCATTTATTTATTCTTTGTTGTATTTACAGCCCAGCCCTCTTCTTCTTCAACACCATTACAGCCTGGTTTGGCTGTTGGGAGGCAATTAGCAATAGAAGGTGCCTCAAACGCCCTTACTCCGGATATACAAGTTGGTGGGTCCATGCCAGAAGCCCCAGTTATCCCCAACACTCAAGTTTCAACATCAATGGGGAACAATGCATCTCTTGTCAATGAAGAGCATCCTGAAGCTCGCTCTACAACTTCTCCAATGGACGATGATGGTGATTCCCCAATGCTCCCCACGCCATTATCCACCTCTGACCGTCCTGAATCACCCCCTCCCCCAATGGATGAAGATGGTTCCCCAACTCCCCCCATACCATTAGCCACCTCCGACCGTCCTAAATCACCCTCTACCCATGATGGTGGTTCCCCTATGCCAGAAAGTCTAGAAACTTCATTGGCCTCGGTTCTCAACTCGGTTTTTCAATCCCGTCCCATATTATCCCCTCACCTTGGGACTGTTAATCCCTCTCATATCTCCCTCCCGCTCAATTTGTTGGGAAAAAATCTTTCGGGCCAAGAAGATATTGAGATGGGTGCCCTTAGTGAATTATCATCATCATCTGAAGACGAAGAATCTGGTGGGTTGACATGTTACCTTTTTCTTGCATTTATTTATGATCTGATAAAAATCAATGTTTACTGTATCCTAGAGCATTCGCCAGCTGGGCCTGTGAAAAAAACAAATCCTGAGGTGCAACCGTCTGACAATGACGATACAGACGATGAAGGTGAGGCATGGAGCTGTGTTTTTGCCTTTGTTTTCTGCTGAAGCTCATCATTGCCAGAATCTTCGTCCTCATCGTCAGATGAGTCTACAGACAGTGATGTCAAGAAGCCCATTACCCCAGGCAACAGGGGTGGAAGGGGTGATCCTGGAAATTTGAAGAAACCTAGGGTTGGCTCATCAACGGTAGACGCTAAGGGACCCAAAGCAGAGGGTTCCCAAGCGACTGGTGGCGAGAATAATCCTAGGAAACGCTCTCGATTCGGTTCTATTGGGAATTCTCCAGATAAGCCGATCAACGTTGATGAGTTTCTCTCAATGTTTGAACCTGCAATACTGCACGATTATGTGCGTTTCATTTCATTTCAGTCTTGTCCATGCTAATCAGCTTTACAGGGCAAGGATGAAGAGATTTCTTTTAGTAAAGAAGAAGCTCCTCGCATTGTCTGTGACCGGTCATTCACAGTTTATGATATTGATGGCAATCCTCATGAATTCACGCCAGAATTCCACGTACGTGTCAAACTTGTTTATGAGTTTTAATAATCATTTATATTTCATCATTCAGCATGGTGTCTTCAATGACCGGTTCCAAGAGTTTATGGAACTTGTTTATGATGGTTACATTGAGGGTCGTCCTCCTCACATCGTGGATCCACAAAACTCTTGTCTGGCAAAATTGCATCATCAAGACTTTTCCACCATGTCTGCCTCAGACATCCAGAACAAAATGCGCCATAAACAGGTCGTTGTCACTGGGCTCCCCTTCGATGAAAAGATGCAGTTCGATGCCAAAGGCCTTCGCACCGTTGTTGGTTCCATGACTGCACAGATATCCATTACCGGTTCGTTTGAACTTATATATATATATTTTTGGTCTAATAATCTAAATCGTTGTTGTAGACTTCTCAGTCATCAACCCAGGGACCGACTGCGTTCCCTCTGTTGTCAGTGGCCATGTTAACGACCTTCTTGAGAATGCCTCGAGCACAGGCAAGATTTTGAACGGACTTGACCTCCCCATGTGGTCTTCCTATCGTCCTTCAAACAATTATGAAACAGATGCTGTTGCATGGAATTTTACCCGTGGGACCCACAGAATTCCGCTTCATGGACCCTTCCCAACCCAGGACCATGAATGGGGTATTGCTGGTCTTAAGCACGTTCTCACTTTTCTCCACATTGACTGTGATGGTTTCAACACAAGATATGGCACTAAAGTTGGACGAAAACTGTGGGCCTTTTTAAGGCCGCGAGATTCGAAAAAACTCTCTTCAATTGACTTCTACATGGATGAAGATGGTTTTTCTCTCTCTGGGAAGCCAAAGGATATCAAGTATGACTTTGAGGCTGTTGTTCTTCGGCCTGGTGATGAACTGTGAGTGTTGTGTTGATAATCATGGCATTATCTCATGATATTGCAGTCATATGCTGCCCAATTCTGCACATTGGGTATATGGCATAGATGATGTGATTGCACAGGGCGGCCATTACTATTCCTCTTATCTTATGCAGGAGACTCTGCAAGGCATTGTACATGCCTTTGTTCTCAACAAGTTCTTGACGAACACGGAGCATATTCCCTCTCGTCACCTATTGCGGAGGATCCTGATCTTCTACCAAGTTGGCCTCATTGAGGGTGCCATCTCTGAAGACGGTGAGATTCGCCCCTCATTGTTTATACCTTTGACTCATTTCCACTTGCAGATCCTGCATTGGTTCATCTACCTAACGTCGAGACAATGGAGGGCGTGCTTAACATCATCTGTCTTGCAGTCCTGATTATACTTGGCAACGTCCTGGATTTTAGGACTTACAGCACTCCAAATCAAGGGGAAGATGATGAAGCCTCTCCTACCCAAAGAACATTGATGGACACCGGTGACATCAATGCCATTCCCAACAATGAACGAATCGCGTATTGCTATGCTCGTGGTGTTGCTTTACACATCCTCAAATGGCTCCGTTCATGCGCCACTTTCACTGGCCCACCAGATGGTCTTGCCGATGATCTGATATCTCTTTTTTTTGTGCAGATTTTGGCCAGTCTATCAGACTACAAAAGCCTTGCTGAAGCAAAGACTTATGGCGGAGTTCCCCATTGCACCTCCCATTTGCTCAGCAAACAGATCGCCAATGTTCTTGAGGTAGATCCGATTCTGAAGGCTGCTTGGGTGCATAAAGAACGTGTTCCTTCGCACTCTCTCGGCCTCAAGGAGGAGGAGAAGTATAACGTTGAATGGCGGCGTGATTGGGAACGCACATCATGGAGAGCCCCATCTGTTGGTGAGTAATGTATGGTTATTGTCTTTTGCAGGTACTTATTAATATTTAGATTTTACTCTTGCAGGGCAGACGCCTTTTGATATCAAGTACTTTGAGGCCACTAAGCTGCGGATTAACTCTGAGAACGCCAACATGATTGTTGATGTTGTCAAACCTCCACGCAAGAAAGCAAAAGTGGAATAATGTTCTATACACCGTCGTCTTTAGCTCTTGTTATATGCCATGTGCACCTTGTACAATATTCTCACCATCATCTTGCAATCAATATCGCTCATTGCTATTCTTCTTTTCAAAATTTGTGAACCTAAATACTTTGCATCCAAGCTTGTCATTGTTTGGCAGCATAGTAGCAGTCGAACTTCCTTTGCAAACTATGTGTGCGGTATGATGCCCTCTATTACACAGATTTCCATCCAAACAGATAGTGTAATACTTTCGCATTGTGAAATTAATGTGGAGGACTTGGCAAGGTGAGTTTCAATATTCAATTTATACTTTTGACTCTAATGTTCTCAAGAAGCGACTACACAGAAACAGACGATGATGGGTCTAGAGCATCTGAAAGTGGCTCAGATAATGAGCAAGAGTTATAAATGTTAAATTTGTGTACTCCCTCGCAGATTTTTCTCTAGACAAGTTGAGCTAAGTGCGATGCGCTGAGTGCTATTGCTGAATCACATGTCCGTGTAAATTCAAGTCATGTGATTGTTCAACTTTCAAATATTTGAACAACAACTGCCAATATTCTTTGTCCTCCATCGACTATGCATCCATATCGGTGGACTCTGTTGCTACTTACCATCATCCCTCTGCTCCTTACAATCTATCCCGTTGATATAAACATAGAATCCAAAGCAATTGCCAAGGATTGATAGTGGTGGAAACAACCCGAGCCGTC